TTCTGCCACTTGAATTTCTCTTGCTATGTCAAGTAAAATGTTTACTGTTACCCTGCTATTGACGCACAATGATCCACCTTTTAATAGAAAACACCACTGGAATTCCTGCAATGTTCCACAAGATCAGAGCATACACACAGAATACCTGTTCTGCAGATGCACATCTTTTCTACCAATTTGAAGCAGGGGTGCAATATTAGCCATTGGGGAAACAGCCAGTATAACCTTTGCCAGGCACAAACAGCTTCTGATTATTGATCAGGGGTCAATTCATTAGATTTCAGATCTTGTCATTAGTTATTGCATGCGACAGGAGAACAGAGTGCCAGTTACTTACTCACTGAGTTACAAAAAACTCAATGGAAAAAACACATAGTAGGGCAGAGTCCATTACTGGAACCTTGTGCAGCAGAGAAGCAGATGTAGCAACACTCAGGATCACACATGCAAGTATGAACCTCAGAGAGGTGTTCTCACGTTGATACAAAAATGTACGCGCGCCTTTGCAGGCATTTATTTTTATATGGCAATTCTGAATAATGACTATAAGAGCAATAATACGTAGTTGACTCATTCAGCAAGCACAGCAACTCTTGTGCACTGAATGCATCAGGGTTTTTTGTGCAAACACAGTGTGTAATTGTGCAATTAAAATCTTTAGCTGTGCAGAGGCACAAGTGCATTGTATAGTCTATCTTCATTCCAGCTGTAGCTAACACTAAAACTCCTACCTACAAAATAACAACACATTGTGGGGGTAATGAACTGTAATAGAAGGCTGAAAATCTGTAACTGAAATACTCACTAATCATTTATTAATACGGTTCCATGAATTATGTCCTCATAGTGATAATACCCAGTCTGATGACGCAGAAAAGACCTTCTGCTTCAAATCTAAATTCCATTTTCCACTATTATCCAAACCACCTGTCAGGACCATCTACTGCTTGTAGGGGACTTGATATCAACACCAAAGCTCCCTGTAGTCCAACCTACCGCTCCCTACCAACCACCACCACTAGATCTGGTCAGCCACGACTGTCTAGCCAAGTCGTGAAAACACCTGAGGATGGATTCTCTGCCACCTCTCTGGTGTTCCTGCTTGCTGTATTTTTACTGCTATGTTATGATTTTGTATGTTGCTGAAAAACAAATCAGACCCCTCTGGAAAATGCCTTCATCTTTGAGAAGGCTTAGCAGTCAAAAGTACATTATATAGAATTATTATATGGAATTATTTGGGTTATTCTATCTGCCAGTTTGACCTTTCTCATAGCAGTCCCGAATAAATGAGGGTGTTTAAAAGTACTTTCCAACCAGAAGCTTTCCAATTTACAATAAATGCTACTGAGGAACCAAAGTCTTTGTTTTCCATTCATTGCAATTATAGCTATTTTCTACACAAGATTTCTTCCAGGTGTAATATGTTCTGGCCATGTCCTGGGTTTTGCTGAGATAAAACCAGGCTGCATCTTCTCATGCCTAGCTTTTTATGAAAAAAATCATGGTGTCCAGGCTTTATACAGGGAAAAAACTCAACAGTTCCCAGCCTCTGGGCTACACTAGAAGGAAGCACATTGTATTTTTACTGGTGTCCTGCTCATCCATATCTCATCCAGCACTGTATGGTGCACTGTCAAAAGCATCAGCCTCCCTAGGCCAAACACAGCCACCCTTAAAATTCAGGATTGCTCTGGACACATTTAACATCATGGTATTCCCAAGTTTCTCATGAAGCATCTAATGTTTTTAGACTCCTCTCCCTCATCAACTATACTGATAATGCCTGGTCCAACATACCAGTGTGGCAAATACTGATTCCTAAATAGCAACTTTTATGCTTTGCAGCTTGCATTTAAAAATGGCTGCTCCCTGCCTGACGGTAATACTAGCGTAATTAACATTTAAGGCAGTTAAATTTTCATTAGTGAGTAGAGGCTCAATCTGGCACTTGAAATCTTGCCCTTGGAGCCCAGGAGAGTTAAAGCATTGGTTTCTGAGACAAAACAGTGCCCCATTTCTTCTATGCAATTAAAAATAACCACTGAGTTTTAGTTAATAATAGAGGTCAAAATACCCAAGTGCTATTGAAAATATTTAACCAAACACAAATGGCACACATTTAACAGGCCTTAGAGACTGGCATATTATGCAAACCAATCAAGCTCTCATGGTTTACTTTGCAACTAAAACATCTTAAGCAGAAGTACAATCCAACTGTGTATAGGTCATATATAAAAAATGCAGATTGCTACAGGTAAACAGACTAACGGTTAGCGTTCACTCAGCCCTTACTCCAGTGTTCTCAAAGTACTTTGCAACTATTAATTAACCTGGTTTATAAAGGAGGGATAGCTCTAGCTTGTACTTATTTTTACAAAGGGTGAAGTAGGACAGAAGGTCAGGGCTGTAAGCGGAAATGGAAAGGCAGGATCTGGGGCCCCAGTCTCTTAAGTTTCTAGATAGTTCACCTTCTCATTAAATAGACTCATGTATGGACAACAAACATAAACTGTAATTGGGAGTTCTCCAATTAAACAAATCCATTTGAAAAGCTGGATGCATATTTTCAAGGCTGGAAAAGAAAATTTTAAGATACTAAACAAGCAACTGCACAAAATTTAGCTTTCCTATTGAGTTCTAAGTTTATAACTCTAAAATTTGAAGTCTTCATAAGCTTTTTCTAAAGGACTGGCTTCATGATGCAGGGCAAAAAAAAAGATTCACCATGGAAAGTTCACCAAAGTTCTGTAGTTTTTTAGAGATTACATTACTATGACGTAGAGAGAAACTGAAACTGATTTCCCAGAAAGGCTGTGACAAACCTCTCTTTTCAAAGTGAATCAAGTATGGAAACAAAAAGAAACTCTAAAGAACAGTAGTGAGCAGTGGGCACAGACGTGTACTACAGCCTTCAATCTAGCAGGCAGCTAGTTTAACCCACACAAAATCGCTGTTTCCCTTCCTCAGTTTTCTTGACTGGTGGGCTGGCTGATGTGACTTTGTTACTTCTGCATCTGCTGTTCTGGTAGACTAACGAAGAGCGACTTACTGTTGCTGTTATTGCTGTTGTTGCTGTTTCCACTGGACATGACACCAATTAGCATGGAAACTTTGTTCAGCATTGCATAATAACAAGCAAAAAAACCAGTTTGGCTGGAAGACTTTCATCAAGACTTTCTTCCATATGGAGTAAGCAAAGATCTTCAAAGGACCTTACAACACGCATCTTCCAGGACCATAAGGGGGTGGGAGATGAGTTAGCAACACTGTGAAACATGTAGTGTGGAAGTTTAGATATAACCTGAAGATGCATAGAAGATGGAAAGCAATCTTTTTTTCATGAAGAATAGGTCATGCCAGTTAGCTTAGACAAGTTGTGCAAAATGACAGGATTAGCGCACAAAGGGAACGCGGCAGATCTGATTTTACAGAAACATTATTTATGGGTTAGTGGGTGGACAAAAGTTTTCTCAACAGATTTTTACAGATCTAATCATACACAGAAAGTTCAAATTGTTTCCTTTAGCCTCTACTTAGTGCTACTTTATAGATAGTGTTTTGCTTTAATTTAATTTATCTAGACTTTAATGAGACTTTTGGTACCTTACTGCCTGGAAAATTATTACTGACACTGGAAATATGGTGCCTGGTTACGAATATTGCAATAAAGATATGAAGTTGCCAGACATATTGTAAACAGAGCATAATTACAGTATTTGCAGTTGAACATCAAAATGGGAAGAGATGCCAAGTGGCATTTCTCAGAAGTTAATATTGGGACTGATAGCATCTAATGTCTTCCCTAATAATTTGGAAAATGAAGTAAATTGTACATTGACTGAATACACAGTAGACACAAGAGGAAGATGAACTACAACACAGCAGGTGGGTAAGTTCAAAAAACCCACAAAGATCTGGAGATCTAAGAGGAAGAGAGAGAAGGGTGCATTGAAGAGGGGAAGCTAGCTAATGTAGACAAACGTAGAATAATACACTCAGAGAAAATTAACACCCATCTCAAGTAACCAAATGGGAAAATGCCAATTTTCATTAAAAAAAAAAAAACACCAAGAGATTTCACAGTTTATTCACACTGAAAATTCACATTGGGGTATATGCATCAGGTTTGACAACTTGTTTGCTACATTTCAGCCTGATGTGGCTTTAAAAAGAAGAATAACAGATTCCCTTAAAAACCTGCCTTTTAAAATAAATTTTTACTTATTTTAAATGTATACTGAATGCTCATAAATGACCCAATTTACAGTCCTGTTAGCGGAAATAACACAGTAGCAATGTAACATAAGTAAGAGACACAGAAGCAGCATACGAGCTCCAAGGTGGAGGTCAGGAAGCCAAAGCCCATCTGTCTCCGATACCGTCAAGGCATTCTAAGTGTTCACTCCGTGCAGTAGAGCAAAATCCATGAAATACTAGGCTGCCACTGATTAGTTGCCTTTAGTTTAGAAGCTCAACTATACCTTGAGGAAAGCTATTACTGTATAAAAGAAAAGTAAGATTCTGAGGGGGATTTAAAAAGAAAAAAGCCTAAACAAATATTGAAACAAGCTTGCGGTGTTAAATGACTACTGTACACACTAATGAACCTTCAATGTTATCTGTAGGATGGAAATTGTCAAAAGAATGTACCCTTGCAATAAAATTAACCTGTAATTATATACACTCACTAAGTATAGAAAACATATTTTATGACACAAAAAACCCCCTACACAGACTATGTTAGAGAACTGCTCCTGTCTGAGAGTTTAAAGAGCATACTATCTTTTCCCCATCATTATTTGGTTAACAATACCCCTAGTACAAGTACATTATTTTGTCACAGGAATGATTCATTACAAGAAAATATAAAAACTTTATCAAACTGAGTATTACTTTTCTTCCTAACACAGCAATCCAAATACAGCTGATGCATACGGAATGCCTGATGTGATAGCAATCAAAATATATTTTTTATGTATGCTTAAAAACCTGCTTACCAAGGGGAGCCATATATTCTGAATCCCCTCACCGTCACTTCAGAGTCTTGAAGATAGATGCAGTTTGTTAGAAGAGACTGTACATTTTCATAGCTCTCTGGCTTCAGCTTAGAAACAGAGGGGAAATAGTAAAAGTCCTGCTTGATTAAGTCAGCCATGAATTCCTGGTCAAAGGTCAATTCATGATTTCCTGCTATCACAATCTTGTATTCATAGGGCAGGCTACCTAAAACAGTGAAAAACAAACAAATTACTTGTTTTACGGAAAACCTGACAAAAGAAAACAGACAGACTCGCAAAATATTACCAATTCCTATAACACGTTCACATATTTGAAACAGTCGAGCATATCCTTGCTACCTGTTACTGTCAGTGGCGGTGATTTCGGGTAAATGACATGACTGCCTTTTTCAGGGCACGCTATGATTTAGCATGCTTAGCATTAATGCGTTGAAACTACTTTCAACTCATCAACCTTAAAAACCAGTCTGCTGACTTCTGCTCTACTATTTACTTCTAGTTAATTGCCATTTGTGCTGCAAGTATCACTTACTGTGACAGCGGTGATAACTCTCTCACAGAAATTAGGGTTCAAAGAAGATCGGCCGCAACGCTTCGTAAAATAATGTCGGCATAAAATAATGTCGGCTCTCTTCTCCCAGAGCTGTGGTCTTTATCAGCTTGTACTGAGGAGGTCTTAGAGCGTCAGAACTTGGGTCAGTCAGAGGGATCTGCTGCCCTCTTTGCCCTGGCATTAAGATCAAGCCTTCCAGCAAGACAGGGATTGGGTTTAGCTGTCAAAACTCCACATCCCACAGAGAAGTCTCGCAGTTTGCCTCTATCCCACGGTTTTTCCTGCTCCATTTTCTCAGTGGCTTCCTTAGATCCATGGACTATAATTTAAAGTGACTCATGTTCAAGAGTATTTTACAACCCGTATTTAGTGAAAAAGGGTTCTTCCTGAGGGGAGCACTGCAACAGCAACTTTCCACCTGACTCCACATTTGGTTATCAGCTGGATTCTGCCCTTGCGAGCAGGCATCACCTGTCTCAGAAAGCTCAATACAAATCTTGTAAGCGTATCTGAGAGGAAACAAAGACAGAAACTGTGCAAAGCTGCATTCATTAGCTTTGCTTCTGCACTATTAATTTGCATCAGGACAGTCAGAACAGGAGATTGGGAGCAGAAAGAAATATTTTATTGAAAATGAGACCCACCTTGCATAGCAGCAATCTTGTCATTTTTTATTTAAAAAATGTATTGTTGGTAACAGAGAAACCTTTAGTGATGACCCCAAGCCTAATCTAGAGGTAGGATATTGAGAGAATGTAAAACACCAGGCAATATGCAGCGGCAAAAGTTGGCATGAGTAGGACTTAAGAATAAAATGCAGCAGCGGGATTCAGAGTTACCGAAACAAAAGGCAGAGAACAGTGCTAGCCCAGAGGAGATGCCACATGGCTGAACTTGTTATTTGCTAAATGAAAAGATCTGGGCAACTCCAAAGCATAAGTTTCAGACACTTGTAACACCTGTGTTAGGAAAATTGATCATACAGGTTCCAGCCTTTCCTGTGGACCCAATACACGTGCCTTTAGAATACTAATTAACAGAAACTCTTTTCAGATATTTATCATCACACGTTGAATGTTGGAGATTCAATTATTTACCTGAAAGACTACTTGAGATGTAAATGTTGTAATTTTTGCTTCTGAAATGCTTAGCATTTTGCAGATGTGTACTCCCTCTCTACAAGTTTTCTGTGTGTGTGCACACATACAAGTTAAAAATGTTACTTACATGCTACAATATGTATGGACATCTCCAGGCCTTAAAGCATTCTTGGGAAATAGGAAAATAAAGAAATCCTGTATGCTGCAACATCGTTAGCAATTCCATTTCTATTCTGTTTTGTAAATCTTTTCCAGCTCATCTGATCCATCCATCTAGCAGCCAAGAACCTGTATGAGCTGGTTATAGTTGTTGCTTCCACTAATGTATTTATGTCATGTTGCTGTCTGTGGGTGTTACTTAGGCAAATTAGCAAATTACTCTAAATGTACAGTTACATTTATTATAGTGGCGGCCAGAAGCACTGCTGTAGTTAGAGGTCTGTCAGCTTTTCAATTAACAACTGTGTTTTTGATGAGTTTGCAGCTCAGTTTTTTTCCTTTCATTCCATACCAGGCGGCAACTTGCTAAACCTATTTCCCTCTCTTTGTCTCCACAAGCCCTCTTTACCCTTTAAAACTTAATTAATACCCATCTAACATGGGTATTTTTTTGCTGCTTACACATAAATTTAACAATATTTTGTTTAAACTTTGTTCCCTAGAAGACTTATGAACACGCTTCACTTTTTACTCCAAGTGTTCTGAAAGCACAAAGTCAACATTAAATATAAATCTTTGAAACCTTGTTCTTGGCTGGGCACCGCTGTCATGAACTATATGTGTAAGACGCCAGATGAAGACCCTCAGCTATCAGACCACAATATAGATTAGACATTTCCCATCTTCCCTATTTCCAGTGTGATCCATGTTTACCAATGCTCATTCTAGTCCACATGCAGAAGTCAACACTGAATGCTGAACACCTCTGCACTAAAGGCACGGTTCTCCTACCACTGACCTCAGAGGGACCAACACCACCTTACTGCAGGAGGACCACAGACCAACATGGTGTGTCAGCTCAATCCTGAGAAAAGTTGAATGTTTCAAGTGCCTTCTATAGCATTAAGATCCACCAAACATTAGCAATATCTGATCAATATTTACTTAAAAACTACCTTAAAGCAGCAACTCTTTCCTATGTCTGACCTACAACTTCTTACCATTCTTTTTTATATGTTATTATTTGAAACATTCTGCATTTTCTTATTCCATTATGTCCTTCCAACACAAATGCATGGTTTTCCATCCCTAGGTACAGACTACTGCACAATTTGTAGCCTTGGCTCAGTCCTTCCTTGGCTCCCCAAGAGCACATAGCCTAATAGCTGTTGTATGGCTGTGTTTCCACATATGTCCATAGCTTCAGAACCACCACTTCTCCATCTCTTTACTTTTTTGTGCCACCAGCTCTTGATCAGAGATAATTCAAATGCTTCCAGGTTGAACAGCTTATTCCCACACCTGCTAGTGGGTGCTAATGACAAGCTGGGTAGAAAAGATACCAGGCACATTTCCCATCCCTTGTTAAACAAAATATGCTGAGAATGTTGAATTCCTCCTTATGCAGGTTTTCATGGTTTCTTATAACAACTGCATTTTGCTAAGAGAGATTCCCACTAAAGACAGCAGTGGCTACAATGTACCCATTGCAGTGGGTTCCTTTTGTCTTCCATTTACAAACTCCATGAAAACAAGCCTTAGTAAAGGCACTGGCTAACATTTTCATTTACTGTTTTCCTTTTTATTTTTCTTTTCAAAAATAGTCATATGCTATTCATTAAGTTCCCTGACTGCTCAGCCAGGTGGGCACCAATGGTACCACTAGAGTGACCTTGAGCATTATCAAGGGTGACTGAAAGCCCTGAGGTTACAGTGAGGGGGATGTGGCCCTGGTGGTACCTCCTCAGACCTCCCAGTGAGGGGGCTCACCACTCAGGTGGGAGTAGATGCATCCCACAGTCAACACGGTGTTGCGTGGCTGGTGCTGCAACGCAGGGCTCCAGCTTCTATGACAGCAGGACCCCTTTTGAAGAACAAGGACTGTTGCACAGGGATGGCATTCCCCTGGCAAACTGGGGCAAGAGCGCCTTTGCTAACAGGTTCACCAATACAGTGGGGCGAGTTTTACATGAGGTGTGTTGGGGAAGGGCTGTCATGCTGTGAAGAGAAGTGAAGGCATGGAGGCAGTGAGGAAACAGCTGGGGAACAACAGGATGGTGAAGGCTCTTTCATTACCCTTGTAAAAGCAGCCTCACTGGGGCTCCTCTCAGGTACCTGTATGCTCACACACACAGCACAGGGTACAACCAGGAGGAAGAAGTCCATGCACATGGACTTCTCTGAGATTCTGGAGACGTGGTGGGATAGCTCATCTGACTGGAGTGCTGCAATGGATGGACCACAGGCCTACCACCTGTCTATCACAGGTCTATCACCTTTGAAAAGTCAGGAGGATTGGAGAACTTCCCAACAGCTGGAAAAAGGCAAATGTCCCACCCACCTTCAAGAAAGGCAAGAAGGGGAATCTGGGGAACTACAGGCCACCAAGCCTTACATCAGGCCTGGGAAAATTATGAAACTGATCTCCCACAAAATAATTTTCCAAGCACATAAAGGTCTGGAGAGTGATTGGAAACAGCCATCATCGATTTAACACAGGTAAATCATACCTAACTAACGTAATTGCCTTCTATGAGGAGATGACTAGCTCTGTGGATAAGGGAGAACACTGGATGGTTTTTGCCTCGATTTTAGCCTTTGACACAATCTCCCATAACATCCTTATAGCCAAATTGGTGAGTTAAGGATGGATGATAAGGTGGGTTGAGTATCATGTGGAATACTGGGCTCAAAGGTATAAAGTCCAACTGGCAGTCAGTCACTAGAGGTATCCCTCAGTGAGTGATGCTGGGACCAATACAGCTTCCCTTCTTTAGTAACAGCTTGGATGATCTGATGGAGTGCACTTTCAGCAAGTTTGCAAGGCAACACCAAATTAGGGGTGGGGATCTGTCAATCCACTCTGAAGGGCATAGAATCATAGAATCATAGAATGTTTTGGGTTGGAAGGGACCCCTAGAGGTCATCTAGTCCAACCCCCCCGCAGGAGCATGTCTGCTATTCAGAGAAACCTCCAAAGGCTGGAAAAATGGGCTGACAGAAACTTGATAAACTTAATCAAAAGCAGACGCAAAGTCCTGCACCTGGGATGGAGTAACTTCATTCAACAGAACTCAGCAGTGTGTCTTTGTGACAAAGACAGCAACCACATCTTGGCCTGTATTAGTACCAGTGAAACCAGCTGAACAAAGGGAGCGATCTTTCTCCTGTGTCTAGCACTTCTGAGACCACAACTGGAGTGTGGCATCCAGTTCTGGGTTCCCTACTGACAAACTGAGGGAAGTCCAGCAGAGGGCCACCAAGATGGCTGGGGAATGTGGCGTACTGGCAGAGGCTGAAATCTAAGCCTGTTCAGCCTAGAAAAGATGAAGGGAAGACCTTATTGCTGTCTGCAACTACCTGATCTCGGGATAAAGAGAAGGCAGATCTAGA